AACCCAGAGAACCCGGAGAACCCGGCCGGAGAACCCGGAGAATCCGGAGAACCCGGAGAACCCTGAGAACCCGGAGAACCCGGAGAACCCAGCCGGAGAACCCGGAGAACCCGGAGAACCCGGAGAATCCGAAGAACCCGGAGAACCCCCGGAGAACCTCCGGAAAACCCTCGGAGAACCCGGAGAACCCGGAGAACCCGGAGAACCCGGTGAACCCGAACCCGGAGAACCCGGAGAACCCGGAGAACCCCCGGAGAACCCCCGGAGAACCCCCGGAGAACCCGTTTAGTTTTTTGTTTTTTTTTTTTTTATTGTTTTTTTTTTTTTTTTCGGAGAAATGGAGAAAACCCGGAGAAAACCCGGGAGAACCCGGCCAGAGAAACCGGAGAACCAGAGAACCCGGAGAGGAGAACCCGGAGCATCCGGAGAACACGGAGAACCCCTGGAGAAACCCCGGAGAACCATCGGATCGAGAACCCAAGAGAACCCGCGAGAAACCAGGGAGAACCCGGAGAATACGGAGAACCGGAGGCCCGGAGAACCCAGAGAACCCGGAGAATCCAGAGAACCCGGAGAACACTCGGAGAAGAGAACATCGGAGAACCCGGAGAACCGGAAACCCGGACGAACCGGAGAACCCGGAGAACCCGGCCAGAGAACCCGGAGAACCCGGAGAACCCGGAGAATCCGGAGAACCCGGAGAACCCCTGGAGAACCCCCGGAGAACCATCGGATCGAGAACCCAGAGAACCCGCAGAAACCGGAGAACCCGGAGAATCCGGAGAACCCGGAGAGCCCGGAGAACCCAGAGAACCCGGAGAATCCAGAGAACCCGGAGAACCCCCGGAGAACCCTCGGAGAACCCGGAGAACCCGGAGAACCCGGAGAACCCGGAGAACCCGGAGAACCCGGAGAACCCGGAGAACCCGGAAAACCCGGAGAACCCCAGGAGAACCCCCGGAGAACCCTCGGAGAACCCGGAGAACCCGGAGAACCCGGAGAACCCGGTGAACCCGAACCCGGAGAACCCGGAGAACCCGGAGAACCCCCGGAGAACCCCCGGAGAACCCCCGGAGAACCCTCGGAAAAATGGGAAAACCCGGAGAACCCGGAGAACCCGGCCAGAGAACAAGGAGAACCCGGAGAACCCGGAGAATCCGGAGAACCCGGAGAACCCCCGGAGAACCCCCGGAGAACCATCGGAGAACCCAGAGAACCCGGAGAAACCGGAGAACCCGGAGAATCCGGAGAACCCGGAGAACCCGGAGAACCCGGAGAACCCGGAGAATTCTCGGAGAACCCGGAGAACCCGGAGAACCCGGAGAACCCAGAGAACCCGGAGAACCCAGAGAACCCGGAGAATCCAGAGAACCCGGAGAACCCCCGGAGAACCCCCGGAGAACCCCCGGAGAACCCCCAGAGAACCCGGAGAACCCGGAGAACCCGGAAAACCCGGAGAACCCGGAGAACCCGGAGAACCCGGAGAATCCGGAGAACCCCCGGAGAACCCGGAGAACCCGGAGAACCCCGGAGAACCCGGAGAACCCGGAGAATCCGGAGAACCGGAGAACCCCGGAGAACCCGGAGAACCCGGAGACCCCCCGGAGAACCCTCCGGAGAACCCGGAGAACCCGGAGAACCCGGAGAACCCGGCCGGAAAACCCGGAGAACCGGAGAACCGGAGAATCCGGAGAACCCGGCGAACCCCGGAGATCCCCCGGAGAACCGGAGAACCCGGAGAACCCGGAGAACCCGGAGAACCCGGAGAACCCGGAGAACCCGGAGAACCCGGAGAACCCGGAGAATCTGGAGAACCCGGAGAACCCCCGGAGAACCCCCGGAGAACCCCGGAGAACCCGGAGAACCCGGAAGAACCCGGAGAACCCGGAGAACCCGGAGAACCCGGAGAACCCGGAGAACCCCCGGAGAACCCTCGGAGAACCCGGAGAACCCGGAGAACCCGGAGAACCCGGCCGGAGAACCCGGAGAACCCGGAGAATCTGGAGAACCCGGAGAACCCGGAGAACCCCCGGAGAACCCTCGGAGAACCCGGAGAACCCGGAGAACCCGGAGAACCCAGAGAACCCGGAGAACCCGGAGAACCTGGAGAACCCGGAGAACCCGGAGAATCCGGAGAACCCGGAGAACTCCCGGAGAACCCTCGGAGAACCCTCGGAGAACCCGGAGAACCCGGAGAACCCGGAGGACCCGGAGAACCCGGAGAACCCGGCCGGAGAACCCGGAGAACCCGGAGAACCCGGAGAATCCGGAGAACCCGGAGAACCCCCGGAGACCCTCCGGAGAACCGGGCGCTATAGTGTTCATGACTCTGGGTAAAGCTCTGAAAGCTCAGCTGTTGCAGCGTTTCGTTGATCATATTCCCATGGCGCGCAACTTCTGGAAGGCTACGTCGCACGCGTGTCCAAACCACGCATCGGCAACATGTGTGGCAAATTGCAGGCGTCCTTTGCAGTAGAACCCCTGCTTAGAATAGTCGCGTGGATGAGCAAAAGCTGACGATGCATGATCGCATGTGTCGTGCACTGATCGATGAAATGCCAGCATTCTGCACATATCCATCGCTGATCTCCTGCAAGCGTGGGTACCACCACTGCACGAGACCTAAAAAGGCTGGAAAGCTGGTCGGGAGCAGGTTGTGCGAGAAGGTGAGGCTTACCTATCTTATCCTATCTTGGCCTTGTTGAGTCCTTGGAGCCCTCTGAGGGCCCTTTCCCTGGCGAGCGCCGAGAGCGTGGCTGCGGTGAGCAGGGCAGTAGGGCGCTCCAGAGCCTTCAGAGCCCTTGCCAGAAACTGCATGGGTGGGCAGCTGGCGGTCGATTGGTGTTGGTAGCCGGGGAGGGGCAAGGGGGCGCCCCGAGGGGGCCGCAGCGGCCCATCTCCAAGCGAGCAGCGCCACTCTTGCGTAAGCATGCCCAGCTGTCTTCCCTATACGACGTACCTGTCGTATGTAGATGGTTCTCGTCCTCCAGGGGGGGGGGAAGTAATTCTCCAATTCTGTCTGGGCGTCCTGCCCGTCGATGTGAGCTTGAATGGACAGGCCTGCTCCATGGCGTGTCTGATCTACTGACCGCAGCGCTGCGCGTGGTCTGTCGCATGCGTGCACAACTCGGGCCGCAAGTTCCAGCAGCGGTGGGGTCCTTGTACAACGTGAGATCACGCCAGATATCGTAGGGCCTGGTGGGCGGCGTCACCAGGGAGGAAGGCGGAAAAGATAGCTGCGCGGCCTTCACCTTGTCGTCGATATGTGAGACGCCGAGGGCGAAATCGTGATCAGCTCCTATGTCGGGCGGACGTATTCCCTGGGAGACCGTAACGCAGTCCCGTCGTTTGTAGGTGGTGGTCTTACCTGGGGCAAACCATGAACCTGCTGAGCCTGCGGGGTCTTCGTAGAAGGTGGATGGTGCTCACTGCCCAGTGCGGCCCAGGAAATTTCAGAAGCAAAAGCCTGGCAGATATTCTTGCTCAGCATGCGCAGGCCCCGTCGTGTGGTCGATGTGCGAGCCCATAGCAGCGTTAGCGTCGACGAGACTGACCAGGTACTCCGATGCGCCTTCAGGAACCATGATGAGGTTCCCGAGAACCTGCCACCAAGCCTTGATGACCTCAGGGGGGCGGCGGGAATGCGGGGCGTGAGCTACAGATAAACACGACTGGGATGGTGCTCGAATCGCTGCGATGAGCACATCTGGCGCTGCGTGCAGTGCAAAACACTGCGCAGGCGCAAGCGTACGACCCGGTTGATATTCCCCAGATGTGATGACCCAAACGTGAGCACCCGTTTTTTCCGGTTGCATCCGCGGAGTTGTTAAGTAGGAAACACGGTCCCACCGTTGACACCCGTGCGTTTGAGTCTTGTCTCACCCGCATCCACCATGAAGTAAGGCTTGTCAGCCAATTGTCCTGACAGCTGCGTCATTATTCCCGTGGCATCGTAGCCTACGTTTCGCACTGCCGAGTGATGTCCCTTGAAGTGGCACGAGCCCGTGGTGAGAACACTCGCCATGGCAACCCAATGTAAAGAAGAGATGCAAGGTGGTGAGTTACAAGGCTTAGCACCTGGAGTGATGTCCAACATGTCCACGTGTTGTTCCTTGGGCGGTGGTAACGAGTAACCTGCTTCTGGTGAGTACGCTGCGCGCTGTGCGTGCGAGAGGTATTCTAGCCATAGCCAAGTAGGAGCAGACCAGTGGGGCTCTTGCATGATCTCTGTCCTCCAGGTGGGCTCGAAGAATGAGGACGGATCTGCATTGAGCAACGTCGTGTTTCTGTGGGTGTGCGGTATGGCCAGGCACTCGCATGGAATGAATGCAGGTAGACCACGCGCGCATGATTAGCATGCGCCCGTCCAACACATTTGCTTATGTAAGGGGTCTTTATAGCGTACCCCCCTTGTGCCGCACGGTTGACATCCATGTTGTCATTTAGGAACCACAGTGGGGTATCGGGGAAAGATTACATGAACCACGCAATGGCCCATATGGCAGCTTCTAATTCTCCACGAAGTGAGGCCTGGGGGTCAGCGTGATCCCATCCTCCCAGGGGGCCCGCGAGGAATCCGAGAAGAACACTCCCGAGCGTAACGGAGACTGCACTGACACAGAAGGCCCACGCGAGATGTTCATGTTTCCCTCCAATCAGGGAGGAGGGAGGAGGGAGGAGGGAGGAGGGAGGAGGTAGGAGGGAAGAGGGAGGAGGGAGGAAGAGGAGGGAAGACACGTTTCATCTTCATGTTCCTTCTTATCCTCCTCCTCCTCCTCCTCCTCCTCCTCCTCCTCTTCCTTGTGCTTTTCCTCCCCGTCCTCCTTCTCTGCATGCCCCTTCCATGGCAACTTTAGTTCAAGCAAGACCGATCTGAATCGGATCAACGTCTTACCGGCCGCACACTCGGCCCCGTGCAACATTAAGTTTGCTTCCAACAGTGACTATACGTCTGAAAGCGCAACCTGTCCTCTTCCATATAACGCTACACCGCCGACGCCATGACGCGCGCCTCTGCCAGCCTGGGTGCCGCCACGATCGTCGCTCTGTGGTGCGCCCCGCCAGCTCTGGGCCTGGAGACCCCGAAGCCGGGCCCGGGCCCGGACTCCGGGCACTTCTGCGGCCAGCTGGCGGCCGAGGGCCTGGCCTCCGAGTGCGGCCTCGGGCTGCAGGTCGGGTGGCAGGCCAGCGGCGGCGCCGAGGGCCCCGGCGACCCCGGGGCGGAGGTCGACCCCCCCGCGCCGGCCGGCGCGGAGCTGCCGTGGGCGCGGCGCGCCGTGGCGCTGGCGGCCTCGCCGGAGCTGCGCTCGCTGTGGGTGGAGCTCCTCTGCTTCCTGGGGGCCCTGGCGGCGATCCGCCTGCTGCTGGGCGGGAGGCGCCCGGCCGCCCCGGGCGGGAAGGCCCCGAAGCAGGCGCCCTCCGCTCCGGCGGCGCGCGCGCCGCCGCCTCGCGGCGGCGGGGCGCCTCGCGCGCTGGAGTCGCTGGCCGCGAGGGGCAGGCCGGCGGCGGCGGTGGTGGAGGCCTGGCGCAGGGAGAAGGCCCAGGGCGAGGTGCAGCTGCCGGGCCTCCGGGCGGCGGTGAAGGCCCTGGCCGCCGCGGCGCCCGAGCACCTGGTGGAGGAGGTGTCGGCCAGACGTAAGAGTGACCTTTCGCCGGAGTGACCTCCTCTGGTGCGGGCCCAACGGGGTCCCCCGATCGTCGAGCGCGAGGCGGCGGTGGCGTCTTGCGCGCTCGTGTTTGGCTCCCCCCGCGGCCCCCAAGCAGGCGCGCACCGAAGCTCACTCTTGCCCAGGGTCGCTCTTGCGTGCAGTCGAGAGGTGCTCTCGTACCTGGAGCGGCCGGGGCTGTCGTACCTGGCGAAGCCGCAGACGCTCCACCTGCTGGTGGACGCCGCCGCCAGCGCGGGCCGCCCAGACCTCGGAGGGGAGCTCTCGGCAGCCGCCGCGCGCCGGCTCGGGGTTGCGCCGGACGAGCGCGTCCGCGACGCGCTCCTGAACGGGCACGCGGCGTGCGGCGACGAGCAGAAGGTCGAGGAGCTGCTGGCCCAGTGGGGCGCCGAGGCCTCTGCGCGCCGCAGGGCGGCGGCCTTCAGGGGCTTCCTGAAGGGCGGCCACGTTGCCGCGGCGGTGCGTGCGCTGGCCAAGATGCACCACCAGGCCGGAGGAGGACAAAAAGCCGATGCCGCTGCTCGTCCTGGAGAGCCCTCGCCTCCACGGCTGGATTATCCTCGAGGCTCTGTGCAAACGGCATCCCGGGAGGTGTGCGGGGGGTGGCAGCCTTAGTTTTTTCTGGTTCCCTTCACCAGGGGCTCGAGCTGCCGCCGAAGGCCCTGGCCGAGCTCTTCGGCGCGGCCTTCGCCACGGGTGCGGCGCCGGTGGCGCTGGGGGAGCTCGAGAAGGCCGGCGTGCCGCTGCCGGCCGAGTGCCTGCACCAGGTCCTCGGGGACTGCGTGCACCGCGAGGACCTCGAGACGGGCCGGCTGGTGGAGCGCTTGCTGCGGGCGCAGCAGCAGGGGCTGACGGCCGCTGCCTGCGAGATGCTGGTGAAGTTGCACGCGTGCACGGACGACGCGCGCGGGGTGGAGCTGTTCCGCGAGCTGCAGGAGAGCGGCGTTTGCGGATCTTTGCTGTCAGAGGGCTTGTGCGTCAGTTTGTTGGCCAAGTGCGCGGAGTCCAAAAACTTGCGGTTGGCTGATGCGGTTGCAGCGGTCGTGCGCGAGAGGAAGATGGTGACGCTGTCTTTCTACAAAACGCTTATGAAGCTCTATGCTTGCTGCGGCCTTTTCGACAAGGCCTGCGACCTGTACGGCGAGCTCGTGTCCGAGGGGCTGGAGCCTGATTCGGTGATGTACGGCTGCCTCGTCAAGTTCTCCGTCAAGTGCAGGCGCACCGAGCTATCCGAGGTGCTGTTCGAGAAGGCTGGGGGCGGCTACGTCCAAAACTACATGTGGCTCATCCGCTCCGCGGGCCAGGACGGCGACGTAGCCAGGGCGATACGCGTACTACGTCGCTTGGAGGAGGCGCAGCCCGCGGGAGTCGACGTGATGGTTTACAACTCGGTGCTGGACGTGTGCGTCTCGCACGGGGGTACGGATGAGGCCAAGCAGCTCTTGGAAGAGATGACGTGCAAGGGCGTGGATCTCAACCTAGTCACCTACAACACCCTCATGAAGGGGCACTCTGCCAAGGGCGACCTGCCCAGCGCTAGCGCCGTAATGCGGGACATCAAGGCGGCGGGCCTCTCCCCAGACGCCGCCTCCTACAACTGCCTGATCAGTGCCGCCGTCACGGCTGGGAACGTGGCGGAGAGCCTGAGGGTCTTGGACACGATGGAGCGACAGGGCGTCCCCATAGACATGTACACGGTGTCAATCATCATGAAGGCCGTGCGGCGTGCCAGCAGCCCGCGGGAGGCCGAGAGGGCGCTCTCCCTGCTGGACCGGTCCCGCGTGGACGTCTGTGAGGATGAGGTGCTGTTCAACACCGTCCTCGACGCCTGCATTTACAGGGTGGACAGGGCGCGCCTGTCCAGGGCGCTCGCGGCCCTGAGCGGCAGCAGGGTGCGCCCGTCCGTGCGCACCTACGGCCTGCTCATCAAGGCCTGCAGCGTGCTGAGGCAGACCTCCCGATGCTGGGCGTTCTGGCAGGAGATGGTGGTGCAGCGGGGCCTGGAGCCCAATGACATCACGCTGAGCTGCATGATCGACGCCTTAGTGGAGGGCAAGCAGGTGGAGGACGCTGTCGGGATCTTCCAGCAGTGGAAGTCGAAGGCAAACGGCAACACGGTCATCTACTCCACTCTGATAAAGGGCTTCGCCAGTACTGGAGATGCTGACCGCGCAATGGCGACGATGCGCGACATGCAGGCCGAGGGCGTCAAGATGAACATTGTGGCCTACACCGCCCTCATCGACGCCCACGCCCGCAGTGGCAGCATGCAGGAGGCCCGCCGCCTGCTCGAGCTCATGGAGCAGGACGGCTGCCAGCCCAACACCATCACCTACTCGAATTTGGTCAAGGGGCACTGCGTTCAGGGAGATCTGCAGCAGGCGCTCAGCGTCTTCAACGAGATGCTGCAGCGGGGCATCCGGGCCGACACGGTGATCTTCAACACCATGCTCGACGGCTGCGTGAGGCACGGCCACTTCCAGCTGGCCGACAAGCTGCTGGAGGACATGCAGAGCTACAGCCTGGACGAGTCAAACTTCACGCTGTCAATCGTGGTGAAGATGTGGGGCAAGAGGCGCGACCATCAACGGTCGCGGGACCCGTGGGCCAGAGCAGCCCACGGAGGCCCTCCGAGGTCCTCCGAGGTCTCCCGAGGTGTCCCGAGAGGTCCTCCGAGGTCCTCCCAGGCCCGCCCCCCGAGGGGTCCGCCGAAGCCCCGCGGAGCTCCACAGAGGCCTCGCGCGAGAGCCGACGCTGGCCCCCCTTGGCTGCTCTGCTGCGCCCCCTCTGAGACGCAACCTCTGCAGCGCACAGGGCGCCCGTGCTGACACGCTGCGTGCCGGCTCGGGGCGGGCTGACCCGGGCCTCGGCGGACGCCTCGCGCGCCAGACCTCCGTGGCCTGTCCACGCGTCGAGCTCCGTGCCAACACGCGCCACGTGCTGCGCGCTGCGCCTCTCCGGGCGGCGGAGCCCCCGAGGCCTCCCGACGTGCCCCGAGGGCGCCCGAGGTCCTCCGGAGCCCTGCGGAGCCCCGCGAGGCCCCGCGCGAGGCCCGACGCCGGCGCCCCTGACGGAAGGGGCCCTGGGACACACACAAATAAATACACAAACAAAACGATTCCCCATGTTCTCCCATAGTTTCTCGGGGCTTTGGCCTTCCCCCCCACTTCCCATATTTGCCCATATTTTTTCCCAGATTCCTGGGAATCGACGATTGAATTGTGTCTGTGTGTTTTTTTTTCCCCTCCTGAGTGACCCTCTGCCGGGGCAGGCGCGACCTCGACCGCGCCTTCGCCGCCGTGCGCGCGGCCCTGCGGGGCGACCGGGGGCGCCGGGTGGACCCGCTGGTGGGCGCCTGCCTCGTGGGGGCCTGCCTGCACAACCACAACCCCGACCGCGCGCTGGAGGAGAGCGTATATTTTTTTGTTACCCGGCCCCCCCCCCCCCTCCCCTTTCCCCCTCCCCCATCCCCCTCCTGCTCCTCCCTCCCCCATCCCCTCCTCCTCCTCCTACCTCTCCTCCTCCTCGCCTCCTCATCCTCCTCCTCCTTCCTCCTCCTCCTCCTCCTCCTCCTCCTCCTCCTCCTCCTCCTCCTCCTCCTCCCTCCTCCTCTCCTCTCCTCCCTCTCGTCGCCGACGCCCCCCCCTCCCCTCCCTCCCCCCATAGCGCTATGTGGAGGACGATCAATGGAGAGGAAGCATGCTGCCAAATACTTTCCAGATGTCTAACACATGTTTCAACATGTGATATATATATATATATATATATATATATATATATATGTATATATACAGAGCATGCTTGAAACATGCTTATAACGTGCTTTACACATGTTGACACACGCGTTTAATTCAATGATAGGACTGTTACAGTGTCCATTGTCATGGCATCCACGACCATAGCGTAACGCTCCCCCGCCCCTCCAGTGCGTCCCTGGCACTGCCGCAGTGCGTCCGGTACCACAGGCTGTGGTGCCAGCCTGGCCGGACCCGCACGGCGGGGGCGTTACGTTCTGCCCCCCTCTCCCCCTCCCAGTCGGCGTCGCCGCCGTGGGGTCCGTAGCATCGTCGCGGGTGTTTTTTCTTTCCTGGCCCCTGACCCGGCCTGTCTGCTTGCGGGTGCTTCCCTTCTCCTCCTCGTTCTTGTCTCCCGCCTTTTCCTTGCTGCCCCCCCTCCCGTCTGCCCGCCCGCCCGCCCCGCCGGCCCCGGCCCCCCGCCTGCGCGTTCGCAGCCGTCTGCCTGCTACTCCCCTCTTCCCCCTCCGCCGGACAGCACAGCCTCTCGTCGTCGTCCTCCTCCTCCTCGTCCTCCTCCTCCTCTTCGTCCTCCTCCTCCTCCTCCTACTCCTTCTTCTCCGCCTCCTCTCTCCTCCCTCCTCCCCCCTCCGTCCTCCCTCCTCCCTCCTCCCTCCTTCTCCTCATCCCTCCTCTGCCCAGAACAAGAGCCAGCGGCGCGGCCTGGAGCCTTCTTCCCCCCCCCCCCCCCGTGACGCCCGCCGTCGCCGCGAATAGAAATGGTGCTCTCGAGGCGCTGGCGGAGATCAAGGCGCAGCCCCGGTTTGAGGGCCCGTGTGCGAACACGTACAGCTCGCTGGTGCCCAGAGGAGGGGGAGGAGGAGGAGAAGGAGGAGGAGGAGGGGGAGGGGGAGCAGGAGGAGGAGGAGGAGGAGGAGGAGGAGGAGCAGGA